TTTCTTATTTAATTTATAATTTTTTAAAATTAGAAATGGTACTGCATATCAAAGCAGAAAATCAGAAAACAGAAACTGGGAGAAAATTGATCATTCATAATGTCACTGCCTTAATATAACCATTGTTAATATTTTGGTAAGAAGTCTTTACAATGTATTTTCATGTAATATACGTATATATTTTCTGTACAAAACTGATTCAACATACAGTATTTAACAATCTTTTTATAGGTATATCATAAACATTTTCTCATATCAATAAATATTACTTTAAAACTTCATCTCTAATGGCTGTAGAATTAGTTCATGGTATAATGTTTAGAAGATGAAAATACATTTTTATGTGAGAATAAAGTGATTTCCTCATTCCAAAAAATCCAAAGAGTGTAACAAATATAACAATTATAAAATTTATGTCAACCATAACCTTCTGGAAATATATACTATTAATATGCACACTGTATTTTAAATGGGATTATACATGCTGTTTTGTACCTTTCTTTTCCTTTAACACTTTTTTACTTTCACTTTTTCCAGTTTTATTGAGATATAATCGACATTCTTTCCTTTTAATAACAAATATCTTTTCAAAATGACAAAAACAGATCTATGTCAACATTTTAAACTTTTTGTAATATTTAATTATAAATATAACAAACAGGATTATTGATGGGGGTTTTAGAAATGGAAAGGGAAGGGAGTCCTGTGTGGTTCAGTTGCTTAAATGTCCTACTCTTAGTTTTGGCTCGGGTCATGATCTCCAGGTTGTGATACGGAGCCTTATTGAGGCAGAAGGGTCCACTCAGTGGGGAGTCTACTGGAGATTCTATCTCTCCCACTCCCTCAGTCCCTCTGCCTGCTGGCATGTGCTTTTTCTCTCCCAAATAATGAAAGGAAAGAAAGAAAAGAAAAGAAAAGAAAAGAAAAAGAAAGAAAGAAGAAAGAAAGAAAGAAAGAAAGAAAGAAAGAAAGAAAGAAAGAAAGAAAGAAAGAAAGAAAGACTTAAATCCTAGAACTTGTGTGATCTTAGATAAATGACTGGTTGCTGTGAACGTTATCAATTGCTTAATGGTAAACATGAGGTGTACCTAGCAGGACTAGTGAAGTGTTAGTGGGAACCGGTGCAGGTGGGGGCAAATTCAAACGTTTTCAGCATGCAAGTCCTGAAGAGGACCAACTTTTATTCTTCAAAGTTCCGATAATATGGAATGCTTTAGTTTGTGTCCAAATGGAGTTATTGCAGCCCTACCCAAAGTCACTCACATTACGAAGAAGAGAAAACAATACACCACAGGCCAAAACGACAAGAAAGAAGGGAAGAAAGGAAGGGAGGAAGGAAGAAACAGAGAGAGAGAAGGAAAGGAAGAGAGAGAGAGAGAGAGAGAGAGAGAAAACTCAGGAAGCAAACTAGACCCCTCATCCATTGCTGCTGGAAATGCAAATAGTGTAGCCACTTTGAAAAAGAGTCAACCAACTCCTCAAAAGGTTAAATGGAGTTACATATTGAGACAGGGAAACTGAAGGACTCTATATAAAAATCTGCTTTTTGCTCCTTTTTCTTACTAGGACTTGCACCTCCACCCTACTTTACACATGCCTTGTAAATAAATATACATCCTCCTTGTAAGGGACAAGGAGTTAATGGTTCTCTAGAATAGTTAACATTTAAGGGGATGCCTGGGTGGCTCAGTGGTTGAGGGCCTGTCTTTGGCCCAAGGCATGATCCTGGAGTCCCAGGATCAAGTCTCACAGCCGGCTCCCTGCATGGAGCCTGCTTCTCTCTCTGCCTGTAGATACACAGTATCTATCTGCCTCTCTCTGTGTGTCTTTCATGAATAAATAAATAAGATCTTTTTTTTCTTAATAAATAAAATCTTAAAAACAAAAAACATCTAAGAAGGACCAGGTGAGAATGACCAGGAAAGCTATCCTTTGTTCTTTTCTTTTTTTTTTTTTTTTAAGATTTTTATTTATTTATTCATGATAGAGAGGAGAGAGAGAGAGAGAGAGAGAGAGAGAGAGAGAGAGAGAGACAGGCAGAGGGAGAAGCAGGCTCCTTGCCAGAGGCCAGACGCGGGACTCAATCCTGGGACTCCAGGATCACACCCGGGCCCAAAGGCAGGCGCTAAACTGCTGAGCCACCCAGGGATCCTCAAGAAAGCTATCCTAATGCACATTCCAGACCACTGGAGCTAGACATCTGAAAGCAAGATCCCCTGGCTCCAAGGAATGACACCTAGGCCTTTGTCTTTGTTCTGACTGGTTCCTGAAAGCCTGAGAGGACCATACACCAGAATTCCTCCCTCAATAAAAACCCCCAGACCTCAAACAAAGATGAAACTCCCTCCTTTCCTCTCTAAGTGTGTTGGACACTCACTCTGCTAATTGCTCTGTGTCTTCAATAAACTCTGCTTTCACCTCCTGCTGGCTCATGTTTGATTTCCATCCTGTGTGAAGCCAAGGGCCCTCTTGGCTGGTCCTGCTGAACACCCCCGGTCCTGGAACCCAGCCTGCTGGCATCCATATGAGTCAGCAATATCAATTCTAGGTATGTACCCAAGAGAAATGAAAACATACCTCTGCTTATACAATAACTTGTACAGGAATCTTCATTGCAGCATTATTAGCATAATAATAATTAACATTATTAGCATTATTCCTAATAAAAGCCATTATTCCTAACAGTCAAAAAAGTGTAAACAACTCAAATGTCTATCAAAGCATGAGTGAAAAAAAAAAGCATGAATGAATTAATAAAATGATGGATAAAAAAAATCCATACAGTGGTGTATTTGACAATAAAATGGAATGAGTAGTGTGATACATGATACAACATGGTTGAATCTTGAAAATGGTATGCTAAGTGAAAGAACTGTAAAAAAAGACCACATAAGGGGCAGCCCTGGTGGCTCAGTGGTTTAGTGCTGCTTCAGCCCAGGGCCTGATCCTGGAGACCCGGGATCAAGTCCCATGTCAGGCTTCCTGCATGGAACCTGCTTCTGTCTCTGCCTGTGTCTCTGCCTCTCTCTCTCTCTCTCTGTGTCTCTCATGAATAAATAAAATCTTAAAAAAAAAAAAAAGACCACATAAGAAAGGGAGGTGGGCGGGGGTGGGGTGACTGGGTGACTGGCACTGAGGTGGGCACTTGATGGGATGAGCACTGAGTGTTATTCTATATGTTGGCAAATTGAACACCAATAAAAAATAAATTTATATAAAAAACCCACATATTGTATGATTTATTTTATTTATGTGAAATGTCTGGACTAAGCAAAGCTATAGACAAAAAGTGGGTTAGTGATTGCATAGCGCCCAGAGCTTTGATGAAATGAGGGGTGACTCCCTATAGGTACAGTAATTCCTTTTGGCCTGATGAAAATGTTCTAAATCAACTGTGGTGGCAATTACACAACTCTGTGAATGTACTAAAACCTGTCGGATCCTTTATTTTTATTTATTTTTTTATTTATTAATGACAGTCACACAGAGAGAGAGAGAGAGAGAGAGAGAGAGAGAGAGAGAGAGGGAGAAGCAGGCTCCATGCACCGGGAGCCCGACGTGGGATTCGATCCAGGGTCTCCAGGATCGCGCCCTGGGCCAAAGGCAGGCGCTAAACCGCTGCGCCACCCAGGGATCCCTGTCAGACACTTTAAATGGATGAAATGCATGGTATGTGGATTATATATTAATAAAGTTGTAATAAAAAGCAAACTAGGGCATTGTAATTCCGAAGGATCATTAGAAGGTGGTATATAGAGTGTTGGACAGATGAAGCTCTTCATAAATGGTGGCTGTTACTCATTGAAGTAATTTCCTTTTTTACATTTTCCTCACCATAATCAACATTTTAAATATATCACTTCGTATTTGGCAAAATACTGAACACTGTTGCAAACTGTTTTCCTTCTGAACCTTTGGAGATGTACTGATGAGTCGCGTACTTGTTTTTAGGACCCCGCCCTGTCCTCAGAAGGGCTGGGCCCACGGGCATTTCTGAGGGTATAGAGCACCTGCAAAGCATCTTTTTTTTTTTTTTTTAAGAGTTTGTCAAAATGGTAATAAAACACACACATAAAAGAGTCCTAGTGTTTTTTCTAAAGACCTTGCTTTGGGAAAAAGCCTTAACATTGTTCAAATAGATATTCAAACTATTCAGACGTAGAGCTTGGTGGAAAGCCATACAAGATGATTGTGCGTTGATCCTTTTTGTGGACGTTTGCAGGCATTGCCGAAGGGGAAGACGTGGTCTCGGGCTCAGTAGCCAGGTTCCCTGACCACCTCCCAACAATCTGAGTATTAACCTCAAAGTCTCAAGCAAGGTGTTAAATACTTGTGACTCACAAACTAACTTCACAGCCTGACTTTGAACCAGTGTAAATGTGAACAGGTGCGGGGAGGGCTGCAGCGAACTGCGTGAGAATCTGTGGAACTGTGAACTGACCCCCCCCCCCCCCCGGTCACGAGGAGGCCACCGGCTTAGATAAAAGAGAGCGAGGTGGAAGAATTGGGGGGGGACACCTGGCACGTGCATCCTCAGGCTCCCTCCCTCGTCTGAAGGCGGAACCAGTGGACAACCGGAGCCCTCGGAGTTGCTCCTTCCCAGGCGAGGCAGCTCCCGCAGGGCTCCCAGCACTTGGAGGAGTTTCGGGGCGCAACGCCGCAGCCGGGCGCAGAGCAGAGGCCTGGGCGGCCGCAGGCACCCACCCGCGCGCCGCGAAGCCGCGGGCCCTGGAGGGCGGGGACGTGGCGCCGGGTCAGCAAAGGGCTGGCAATTGTGTCGGGAGGTGAGCGAGGCGCCGGCAGCGGCGGGCGGGGCCCCGGACCTGTGATGTAAGGCGCGGAGGCATCCCCCTGCGAGAGTCCGAGCGGCGCGGCGAGACCCCAGGGGTGTGGGGCGGGGGATCCCAGTCCCCGCCCTGTTTCCCCGCCCCTCCCCCCGCCTCCTGCACGCCCCTCCCCCCTCCTCCCCTCTGGTTGGAAAGTTTCTAGAATCTCTTCCCAGCGGCCTTTGCGGTTCCAACATGGCGGAGCTGACGGTGGAGGTTCGCGGCTCCAACGGGGCTTTCTACAAGGTACCGACCCTCTTGCCGCTTTGTCGGGTGTTCTGGGGGGCTAAGGCAGCTTTGGGGCAAGGCCGGTGGTCCCGGGGACTGAGGTTTGGGGCCGAAAGGGCGCGCAGGCCGAAGCCCGGGGCTGCTGGGTTCCTCGCTTCTCCCCCCTCCGCCCGCGGTTTAACGGTCTCGGGGGCCAGGGCTCCGTTATGTTTTGAAACAGCACGTCGGACACCTCTTGCGCTTTCCTACTCGGGAGCCTTCCCTCTGGATGCTGGGGCGGCCGTGCTCGGGCCGGGGAGGAGGAGCCGAGTCGCTGCTGGGGCGGCGGGGAGCTCCCCGGGCGCAGGCCTGAGCGCCGGGAGGCTGCGGAGTCGTGGAAGGAGGTGGTGGGATTGTGCGGTCACCGCCGCTCCCCCGCCCCTCGGCCTGGGCCCAGCCCGGCGCCTCGGCCCGCTCTCCGACCCCTCCCCGCCCCTGGGGGGGTGCGTCGCGGAATCTTAAGAATTCACCTTTGTATTAGGGTTTGGGGCTAATAAACTTCAGTGTCTGACGGGGAAGCGGGTGCCGAGTGGAGGGTTAGGATCGGAGAGAAAACTAGAAACCCTTGTAAGGTGGCGGGTTGGAGATATTTTTGCGGCCTGGGTAATTGGGCGGCGCCTTAGCCCCTCTCTTACGGAAGAAAGGGCTAGAGTTACAGGCTTTAAAGTAAGATGGGGGGAAAAAAAAGGAAATCGATAAGGGAGACCGGTGGGGAGGTGACTGGTTTCTTCATGTTATTCAGTGTTTTTGTAAAGAACTGTTGATTTTTTTTTTTTTTCTGGTTTCTTCCCCACGAGGTTTTTTGTTTGTTTGTTTGCACCGGGAGATACGTTCTTATGGGATGGGGACTGGAAAACCGAAGGGGAATTGGAGAGCAGAGGAATTTGGTGGGGGCTTCCAGGGTGTAGGGGTCACGTAACTGAAAATGAAATCCTTACGGTTTGGTTTTGTCCTGAAGACGGTCTCGATTCTCTTTCTCCAGAAGTATACGACGGTGTTACGAGATCAATACAAAATCTCCCCCAGCTGTTGTCTGTCCGTCAATCTTACTAAGCCAGGATCTCAAATGTTTGAGAGTCCTGGCTATTTTTATGAAGGGCCGCCTCTTAATCCAGGAGTATTGTGTGTACGCAGAATGTGGTCTCCCTGGGTTTCACTTCAGCGTACCTTTTGTCCCACGGATTTTGTTTTACTTGGTGGTCGTAATTTCCTCATTTTAGCGTTTGTTTTTCCTTTTGTAGTTTACTGATAAGCTGTGTGGCTTTGGTTTAACTGTCACGTGGTAATGGCCTGGTGGGGAATCACAGTTGGTGTCTAAAGGATCTCCCTAAGCTTTTTACAAGTTTCAAGTCGCCTTAGGTGGTCAACAGAAAATAAAAACAGTGACTTCTTGGTGGAAAGGAGTCTTTTTGCTTGAGTAGATGTATTAGCGGTCTAGTTTTTTAACGTTTGGTGTCAGACAAAAGACCTAAGTGAAATTTGAGTAGATATTTCATTGACTTCTGTTATTGAAATCCTAGTGGTTGCCTTCTCTGACCCCAGATACAGTTGTGGCACAAAGCACAAAGAATGGGCTTGCTATACTTTTTCTGTCAAGGGTAGGTAGGATTCATCATTCTTGCACACTGCCTCCCATGGAAAAGTTTCATATTCCCACTGTTGTGATACAATTGTGTAATGGACTTTTTTTTTTCTGGCAAGTTGAGAAGTAAAATTTTTATAGATTTTACTCATGAGAGAGAGAGAGAGGGGCAGAGACCTAGGCAGAGGAAGAAGTAGGCTCTTCACGGTAGCCTGATGCGGGACTTGATCCCAGGACCCCAGGATCACGCCCTGAGCCACCCAGGTGCCCGGAAAAATAAAATTTTTTTGCCTTTATTTTGCAGCTTGTGGATGGTAGATTGAACGTCCTTTTTTTTTTTTTTTAAAGAATTTTAAAGATTTTATTAATTTACTCATGAGAGACACAGAGAGAAGCAGAGGCATAGGTAGAGGGAGAAGCCGGCTCCCTCTGGGGAGCCAGATGAGGGACTCGATTCGGGTACCCAGGGATGACACCCTGAGCTGAAGGCAGACGCTCAACCACGGAGCCACCCAGGCATCCCAGAACATCCCATTTTTTGCTGAGTATTTGTGTTGATGCTATAGAAGATATTTGTTTTCTTTTATAAGATTTAAGGTCGTCCGTCTGAAAGTTTTAGTAAAGATTGTTTACAGTGTTTGTTTTTTGGGTATTTTGTCTTAAAGATTTTGAGAGCATGAGCCTGGGAAGGGGCGGGAGAGGGAGAAGCCCACTCCTGGCAGAGCAGGAAAGCCCAAGGAGGGGCTGGATCCCAGGACCCTAGGATCTTGACCTGAGCTGAAGGCAGGTACTTAATCTTCTGAGCCACCCAGATGCCTTTATGGTGTTTGGTTTTTCATAGTATTTAAAAAATCAAATTCACAGTGAATATTCCCTTTTTGGAACTTTGTGAAATACTGTTGATCCTTATCCTCACTCTACACATCTTAGAGTGCATTGCTTGTTTTTATTTGACAAAGGTGGTAATTTGGCGAAGGTTGGGAAGTACATTGTGTGTACTAAATTGCACTTGAACGTTTGGAATTTTATGTCCTACCATAACCCACTTGTACATTGTGGAAACAGGTCTTGAGAACTCTGGGAGAGCGAGAATGGTGAAGCAGCAGGAGCCCTGAACTTGCAGTTAGATAATGGCAAACTGAAGTACAGACCTAGAATTCCCATTTTGTTCTCCATGTACCCTTGAGCATATCTTTGCTGTAAAATGAAGGATTTGAAGTGTAATTCAGATCCTGTTTTTTTTTTTTTTTATCCCACAGAACTGCTCACTTGGAAAAAAAATGGTTTACTGCGCAGTTTATTTTTTTAATACATGAATTTTTTAGATTAATTTGCATGTGGTAAAATTCACCTTTTCTGGTACATAGTTATGTGAGCTTTGGTAAAGGTTGTTAACTGCCAACATGATGGAGATTTCCATTATTCCCCAAATTTCTCTCAGGCACCTTTGCAGTCACCTTCTTGTCTCACCCCTCAGTATTTCCATAGTTTCCCCTTTTCCAGAATGTTCTATATGTAGTTTCATACAGTATACTTATTAGTGTTTTGAATCTGTGCTTCTTTCATTTAGCATAGCAGCAATTTAAGTAAAATTTTCTAATTTAAACAATAATAGTGGTCAGTGAGGGCATTTTGGAAACAAAAGTTGTCTGGGATAACAGCTGTTGACATTTTGGTTTATTCTTTCCGGTTTTCGGTGTGCAGGTGATTCTGATTTTCCTCCTTTTCTCCCCCCCTCCCATTTACACACAGTTGTAAACGCTAATCGTAGTAGAATTTCAAAGTCATGAGTTTAGGGGATCCCTGGGTAGCTCAGCGGTTTAGTGTCTGTCTGCCTTCTGCCCAGGGCATGATCCTGGAGTCCCAGGACCAAGTCCCACATCGGGTTACCCGCATGGAGCCTGCTTCTCCCCCTGCCTATGTCTGCCTCTCTCTCTCTCTCATGAATAAATAAATAAAATTAAAAAAAAAAAAAACAAAACAACAGTCATGGGTTTAGTTACCAGAGTCGTCCTGCCTTGAGGCAGTACCCTGTAGACATTTATTAAAGATTTTCTGGTGGAACTGAAACTTCATCTTCCAAATTAATTGGAACCAGTGAAAAGCTAAAAGAAGATGTTACCTAAAATTAGGATTTTTTTTTTAATAAAGCATACTATGTTTTGTATCTTTTTTTGAGTGGATTTGTAGTTTGTTAGATAAAAACTTGATTTGCTTCTGTTTGCAGCTGTATGAATCTATGGGGTTGGAAAGAGTGGGATATATTGTAAGTACCTGAGGAGATATAATTCTAGATAAAAATTTGATTTACAGCCGTTTCTACCTAGAGTGAGGCATTTTAGGGTTTATACTACTGGCCATTGAAGGTGCTTCTCTAAAAAAATATTTAAGATAGTATTTAAGTTTTATGATTGTTAGTGTATTTATAGAGTTGTGTAACCATTATAAGCTTGCTTTAGAACATTTCAGTTAGCTCCCAAAAAACCCTGTGCCTCCTTGGAGTCATTAAAATGCTTAACAATTGATGTATATGATACTGAGCTTTGCAATAGCATTACAAATTGCATAGCTGTGGGCAGAATGTAATTTGTTTTTTATTATTTTATTTATTTTTTTCAGAATGTAATTTAAATAAAAGTGGGAAAGAAGTGCCTCAGTTTCTGCTGATATTAAGGAAAGTTTCCATGGTATTCCAAGGAAATGTGTAATCTCTTAAGATGGCCGAATGAAATTTCAGGTCTTCTGTAGAAAACAGTTATTTTTACAGCTCTGCAATTTCTGCTTTGACTAATTGACTACAAATTTCAAAGCACTACAGTATTTCCAAAACTTGCCATTACTTTACCTTGATTTAATATTAAAATGAAATTCGACGGTAATTAAATTATGTAGTAGGTTTATTAGCGTTAATGATCATAACCTAGAGTTTTAGAGGAGTTTCAAAATTAGTATAGAATATTTATTTCTTTGTGCAGGTTAGTAATTAAAAAGCTAGGTGGTGGCTGTCTTAATATTAGGGACACTGTTAAAATCATATTTCCAGATATCTTAAATATAAGAATATTTATAAATATAAAATAAAAGAATAGTTATGCATTTTTTTATTATTGAAATTTTTTTAAGCAAAAGATTTAACCTAATACTGTAAAAATGGAATCTACACAGACATGGAAATTCCAAAGATTGCCCTAACTGTATATGTTATATACTTTATAAAAACAGAACTAAGATGTAACTGAAAAAGCCACTTAATTTTTGAAAATTAGACTTCCTCTGTAAGGAAGTCTATTTTTTTAAATTATAAAAGCAATATGTAAATATGAAAAATCTGAAAACAAAACCAAAAAAAAGGAAAACTTTATCCACCTAGAGAGATATTATCAAGGCCTTGGCTTTA